TTCTCATGAAATTTAGATTTTTTTTTTTAGGTGCCTCCCCTTCCTCTGTCTCCTCTCCAAATATATCATAGTAGGAACATGCAACCAGAGAGAAATAAAGTGGGTAACACTGAACTTGGCCAAGTCTACTTACTGTTCATACAAGGCATAAAGGTTGAATATAGAAAGCAAGTCAATATCCCGGCTAGTCTCACAATCTAATCTTGGAAAGGGTTGGTAAGGCTGCAACGGGTGAGAAAAGAGCAGCAACAGTATCAACATATAGAGTTTAAAAAATTATTGGGGCTGCAATGAAAATTACTATATTTACATCTTGGAATTGTTGAGCATTAACTAAATGCTAGATATTAGACTAATTATTTAATTTAATCCATACTCTTGATGTTGTTATTGTTACTGGCCGTCGAGTTGCCTAGCCTCATGGTGACCCCATGCACAGCAGAATCAAATGCTGTCCAGTCCTTGGCCATTCCCCTAATCATTTGCTGATAGGTCTGTTGTGATCCACAGGGTTTTCACTGACTGCTTTTCGGAAGTAGATCACCAGGTGTTTCTTCCTAGTCCATCTTAGTCTGGAAGCTCTGCTGAAACCCAACCAGCCTCATAGCAACACGCAAGCCTCCGCTGACACACGGGTGGGGCTGTACATGAGGTGCATTGGCCGGGAGATAGATACAATTTTTATTCCTATTTCAGGTAAGGCGCATGAAGGCTCAGAGAGTACATAAAGAAGTACATAAAAATGTAGACACTCAAAGGAATGTATAAAAAGCAAACCATAGAAACTTAAAGAAAATGCCTAATGGAGTTGTACAAGTAAATCGTATAAATGGCATTTCTAGTTTCTCTTTTCACTAGCATTTTGCAAACGCTTTTTAAGCCATACGCCCTCTCTGACCCTGTTCACTGACTCTGCAGGGGCAGGTGTGTGGCATTTACCTCCCAGGCAATTCTGAGCCAGCTGGACAATTGTGGTTTTGCAAATGGAGTAATTTAATACCACTCTTGATAACAATATAATAAGTACTTAAGTATTTCGGATATACTGTTACCAACAATTCCAGCCAAAAGCCATGTAGAGCAAAAAGATTTCAGTAGGAAACTGAATGGTTTAAAATTATTACTGGGGCCTCAATGAAAATGATTTTTTAAGTATTCTCCTTATCTTCTTTCTCACCTCTTTCAGCCCAAAAGACTTTTAGTATTCTCTTCCTTTACTGCTACTATTATTTTATTCACCTATTTAAAATAGGAATACTGGAGCAGAAAGTATTCCTTTACCTGGCAAGAAAGCTGCGAATGTAATTTGGGAAACTTCATCCCTAATAGGCACCACCATGGAAGCAGCCGGCAAGAAATCAAACGACACACTACACTGGGCAAATCTGCTGCAAAAGACCTCTTTAAAGTGTTAAAAAGCAAAGGTGTCACTTTAAGGACTGAGGTGCGCCTGACTCAAGCCATGATGTTTTCAATCGCCTTATATGCATGCGAAAGCTGGACAACGAATAAGGAAGACTGAAAAAGAATTGACACCTTTGAATCATGGTGTTAGCAAAGAATATTGAATATACATACCAGGGACTGCCAGAAGAATGAACAAATCTGTCTTGGAAGAAGTACAGCCAGAATGCTCCTTAGAAGCAAGAATGGCGAGTCTTCGTCTCACATACTTTGGACATGTTATCAGGAGGGACCAGTCCCTGGAGAAGGACATCATGCTTGGTAAAGTAGAGGGTTGGTGAAAAAGAGGAAGACCCTCAATGAGATGGATTGTCACAGTGGCCGCAACAATGGGCTCAGGCATAGCAACGATTGTGAGGATGCAGCAGGACCGGGTAGAGTTTCGTTCTGTTATACACAGGGTCGATTCACCGAACGACAACAAGAGGCACCAGATGAGCTCTGTGGCTTCATGTTTAACAGAGTTTATTCATAGCATTAAGAACAATATAGCTTCCTATCCGCCTCAGAGAGCTGTTAACCTAATGAAAATAAGAGAATATTTGGAAAAATGTTATGAATGCAATTATATCCTGTGTAATACAAGAGGGTGGCTGTTGTTTGCTTGCTTGTTGCCATCGAATCGACCCAGACTCATGGCGACTTTATGCATAACAGAACAAAACACTGCCTGGTCCTATGCCATCTTCACAATCCTTGGTAAGTTTGAGCCCATTGTTGCAGTCACCATGCCAAGGCATCTTATGGAGGGTTTCCCTTATTTTCGCTGACACTCTGCTTTACCAAACATGATATTCTTTTCTAGCGTTTGGTTTTTCCTGATGACGTGTCCAAAGTAAGCAAGATGAAGGCTCCCCATCCTCACATCTAAGAAGCATTCTGGCTGTACTACCTCAAGACAGATTTGTTTGCTCTTCTGGCAGTCTGTGGTATATTCAATATTCTTTACCAACCCCACGATTCAAATGCATCAACTCTTCTGTTTTTCTTCTTCATTGTCCAGCTTTTGCATGCATATGAGGCAATTGAAAATACCATGGCTTGAGTCAGGCACACCTTAGACATCAGTGACATGTTTGCTTTTTAATACTTTGAGGTGGTCTTTTGCAGCAGATTTGCTCAATGCAACACATCTTTTGATTTCTTGACTGCTGCTTCTATGGACATTGATGGTTGATCCAAGTAGAATAAAATCCTTGATAACTTCAATTTCTTTGCCATTTATCATGATGTTGTTCCAGTATAATCCATAGTGAAAGCTGTAGTTTTTGACCCTCATCAGTAAGTGCTTCAAGTTGTCTTCATTTTCAGGAAGCAAAGTTGTGTCATCTGCCTATCATAGGTTGTTAATGAGTCTGCCTCCGATTCTGACACCATGTTCTTCTACATGTATTCCAGCTGCTCAGATTATTTGTTCAGCATACAGACTGAAAAAGTAAGATGAAAGGATACAACCCTGCCACACACATTTCCGATTTTAAACCACTCGGTATCTGCTTGTTCTGCTCGAATGACTGCCTCTTGATCTATGTTTAGGTTCCACATGAACACAATTAAATGTTTTGGAATTCTCATTCTTCGTAATGTTATCTGTAATTTGTTATGATCCACACAGTTGAATGCCTTCATGTCGGGGATAAACACAGGCAAACCTCTTTCTGTTGTTCTTTGCTTTCAGCCAAGATCCATCTGACATCAACAAAGATACCCCTCATTCCACATCCTCTTCTGAATCCAGCTTGAATTTCTGGCAGTTCTCTGTTGATGCATGGCTGCAGTCATTTTTTAATTATCTTCAGCAAAATAGTGCTAGCATGTGATATTAACAATATTGTTTGGTAATTTCCACATTCCATTTGATCACTTTGCTTTGGAATAGGTACAAACACAGATCTCTTCCAGTTGGTTGGCTAGGTACCTGTCTTCCAAATTTCTTGACATAGATGAGTAAGCACGTCCAGCGTTGTATCTGTTTGTTTTAAAAGCATCTATGGATTTAAAGTGCTTGTAAGGAAAGATATTAAGAGCTACTATTCTAGAGAACAAGACTATCAAGAAAATCAGACATGTTGAAAATCGTATCTGCAAACAACTAGTTTAAATTTTAAAATTCTCTAATTTAATTCAGAAATGTAATAAAATAAGAAAAGTAATCAACAATTGATGGTTAATTATAGAAGTGAAGTGTGTGTGTGTGTGTGTGTGTGTGTGTGTGTGTGTAAGCTTAACATAACTAATGAAAAACTTGGCAAAAATAGTATCCAGAGAACAGAGTGGACTTGAAATTTAGTGTATTATCACTTGTTTTTAGGAAAAAACTGGGACGGATCATAAAATGAGTAAAGAGGACTCACTATACTTTGATTACATCTTTATAAAGACAGTGTGGTGTTCATCATTTTTAGTGTAGAGAAGAACGAGACATCAGAAGTCCGGAAATGAACAGATTTGTACATTATGATCAATAAGATTCGCATATGAAACTGACCTTTTAGTAGATAAAATATAGTTGAATATCCACAATTCTACATGTGTCAACCTAATATAAAGAGAAACCTGAGGATTTGGCCTGTAGAAGACGGAAAGCGAAGCACTTAGGCGCCACTATCACTGAAGATCAAGACTGACTTTGACAGTATTATGTAATTCCTTACTTAGTAGCTCAACTTCAGCGTTTTAGGTTGGGTTTAATACCGATAATAATATTGTCACTCCTCCGTCAGCTGATTAACTTTCTTTTTATATCACTAGTTATGTAAATTATCCAAGCAAATTCTTGTTTATCTCCTTCTGGGTTATATCTGCTTTACCGAGGCCACACGAAAAAATGGACTCCGAGCTTTCGCCCCCTGCATGGAATATTTGCTGTGCTGCCTCCCTCCTCTCGTACGCCCCGCCCCCCTCCTCGTTTCTGTAGTGTTGGGCGTCTTCACCACTAAATTCTACACCTCACTGATTGTCCATAACCTAGCTGCTGCCTCTGGGTGGAGGAAAGGGTCCGTTCTTTCTGCCACCCTGGTTTGGAAAAATTAGTCTTTTTTTTTGCTACCCAAAACTACACCAAAGTCTTTTGGGAAATGGAGTGGGGACCCTATTCTCCCGACTGAGGGCAGAGATGCTAGTGTTGAGGCTGAATCACGTCAGGGCACTGTTCACAGCAGCCTCCTCAGCACTCAGTGCGGAACCTGGGCCACTTACCGCGCTCATAACCAATTGTTTTGTCAACTGATTATTGACAGAAGGAAATCCGACAGCCAATCAGAGCGCAAAGTTTGTGTTGCAAGCATCCCTGCCTCCTGCGGTCACAGCCAACCAGAACCCAGAGCAGGGGCGAAACCGGACGTTGAAGGCAAATTTTCAGATTGCGCGCCCTCCTCGCCTGAGGACTTCTCCTGCCGGGTTGCGGGCGTGTCCCCGGGGGTTCCTATCGGACGTCGCTGATTGGAGAAGGCGGGAAGAATGCGGTGGACGCAGCCAATCCGGAGCGCCCTCGCTGCTCGCCTCCCGGCGCCGACCTTCCTCCGCGAACTTAGCAGCTGGCAGCAGGGAAAGCGGCGTCTGCGCGCGTCTCCTAGTTAGCGTCTGCTAGAATCGACTGGCGGGCACACAACAACAGAGGAGCCGAAGGCTGCGGGTGCGGACGCCGGCGCACGGGCCATGGTCTCCACGCGGCTGCCGGAGCCCCCCGCCGAGGGTCCACCCTGGCCTCTGGGCCTTCTGCGCGCGCCCCTCGGGCTTCTGCGGATGGACCCTACCGGCGGCGCGCTGCTGCTGCTCGGCCTGGCAGCGCTGCTTGGCTGGAGCTGGCTGCGGCGGCACCGGGCACGGGGCATCCCTCCTGGGCCCACGCCCTGGCCCCTGGTGGGCAACTTCGGCTACGTGCTGCTGCCGCCCTTCCTCCGGCGACAGAGCTGGAGGTACCGCCAGGCGAGGGCCACAGGGATGGAGCCCGCGGCCCTCAGCCCGCAGGTGCTCCTGGCCCAGCTAGCCCGCGTGTACGGCAACATCTTCAGCTTCTTTATCGGCCATTACCAGGTGGTGGTCCTCAACGACTTCCACAGCGTGCGCGAGGCGCTGGTGCAGCAGGCCGAGATCTTCAGCGACCGCCCGCGGGTGCCGCTTATCTCCATCGTAACCAAGGAGAAGGGTGAGCGTGGCCTTGGCCGCCGGAGCCTTGGGGGTCACGGGCTGCGTAAACGCGCGATGCCGCGAATGGGGCTCCAGGTGCGCTGAGGCTGCGGTTCCAGCCGCCCCTGCCATCCGCGCACGCCCTGCCCCCCTCACACCTGCATCCTGTGCCAGAGGGTCCTGGTGGTGGCTCTAAGATCCCATCGAGCAGTGATGGGTGCATGACTCGTTCAGATTCCTAGATCAGAAGCAGGAAACCCACCGGGAAGTTTAGGGAGAATGATGTGAAAAAGGGTGTGAAGTTAGGTGCCATCCTTCCAGGGGTGTTTTCTCCTTTCCAGAGCTGTGGCTCCCGGGAGAAATTTTGGCCGTTTTGGGAAGGGTGAGGGATACTCTCACTTTGTGAGTTTTGAGTGCAAGAGTTTAAGGAGATCTCAGCCAAATAATAGATTGGCTTATAAAATAATATCACTCGTGAGTAGTGTGCTCCCTTAAACAATTAGCTATATGAGACCAAAGGTCAATATTTACCCAAAAGCAAAGATGAGAAAGCAAGGAGGGGAAGGGAAGCTAGATCAATGGAAACAAACAGAATGGAAATAATGAGAATGCTGACACATTGTAAAAATCGTAACCATGGCACAGAACAATTTGTATAAAAATTGTTCACCACCACTCATTGCCATCTAGTCTGTTCCAACTCACAGTTACCCTATAGGACACAGTAGAATTGCCCGATAGGGTTTCCAACGCTATAATCTTTACAGAAGCAGACTGCTATGTATTTGCCCCAGGGAGTGGCTGGTGGCAAACTGCAGTCCTTTTGGTTAGCAGCCCAGGGCCTAACCACTGCCTGCCAGGGTGCCTTCCAATAAAAATTGTTAAAGGAGAACCTAATTTGTTGTGTAAACTTTCACCTAAAACACAATAAAATGTTATTAAAAGTAAGAGTTCAAGGGGATGTTTTCCAGTAAGATAGAAAGTCCAGGCATGGCCCCTGGATTCTCTATCAGCCCAGAACTAAAACAACTTCCGAGGCCAACTCTTCAGACAGGGATTGGACTGGACTGTGGGACATAAAGTGATACCCGTGAGGAGCGTACCTCTTAGCTCAAGTAGATACGAGAGACCAAAGGGGCAGCTTCTGTCCAGAGATGAGATGGGAAGGCAGGAAGGGTTAGGAGCTGGTTGAATGGACACGGGGTGTCAGGGGTGGAAAGGAGGACTGTGCTGTTGCAGAATCGGGTGAGCAATTAGGGTCACATAACCCTGTATGTATAAAATTTTGTATGGGAGACTAACTTGAAATGTAAACTTCATTTAAACAACAACAACAACAACAAAAAAAACAACTAAGAATTAGCCCACTTTTCAGACAAAGATTAGACAGACAGGCCTATAAAACAAACAATGACACACGTGAGGAACGTACTTCTTAGTTCAATCAAATATATGAGGCCAAAGGGACAACTCCTGCCCAAAAGCAAGACGAGAAGGCCGCTAAGGATAGAACTGGATGACGTGACACGAGGAACCCAGGGTGGAAAGGGGGCGTGTGCTGTCAACATTGTGGGGATTGCAACCAATGTCACAAAACAATAGGTGCATAAATTTTGGAATGAGAAACTAACCTGAGCTGTAAACTTTCACCTAAAGCACAATAAAATTAAAAAAAAAGTCCAAAAACATGCTGGGAGCCTATTAGCAAACCTAATACCCTGTGATCCCTGTTTAGTATGGGCGACTAAATTGGGTAGTTTTGCAGCCTGGAAAACAAGTTATCTACATTGGAAAATCAACTTTAACCTTTTGCTAACCGCTTTTTTTCTTTCTTCTTTATCAGTCCTCCCGTTTGCTCTGTTGCCTGGCATAAGTCCCAGACTTCTTTGTCTGGGTCACTCCTACTCAGCAGTCAGGTGTCAGTTGAAATGCCTTTTCCTCAGGGAAGCCTTTTTTAACTGCCTCTCAAGTAGGTGAGGCTCCCTTGTTAGAAGCAGTTTCATGGCATTATGTCCTTTTCTTTCATTGCACTTACCAAAACTGAGGTTACATAATTCTGTAATCTTTGGCCTAGATGGAGGTCTTCGCTACTAGACTGCCATCTAGAATAGTCATTACCTGTCCTGCCTGGCACACTGTAGGACCCAACGAGTATTAATGTAAATGAATGGCTACTTCGTGTTTCTGGAACATGGCATAAAGACATCCAGCCTTTTTAGAATCTGATGATGCCAGAGTTTTGCATCAGGGTTTTAAGTGAGTAATAGTAATAATAATCACAATACTCTAAATGCCCAACGAAAATAAACGTCACCGTTTGTAACTCACCCTCTCCATGCCTTCACGCGTGCTGTTTCTTCTACTCGGAGTTCTTTTCCAGTCTCTTGGCTGCCTGGAGACCTCCTACCTGCTTTTAAGATTGTGCTTAAATGTCACCTCTTTGAGAAAGTGTTCCCTGACAGGCTTCTCCACCCCCCAGGCAGAGGTTAGCGTCCCTCTCTGTGATATCACTGTTCCATTTCAAGCCCCAGTCTATGAGTCCAAATCGACTTGAAGGCAACAGGTTTGTTTTTTTTTTTTGTTTTAATCCCCTTCTAGTCAATCAGCAAGGCTTGTCAATTCCTACAACAAATATGGGAGTCCCTGAGTGATGCAGTTACCATGCTCAGATGCTAACTGAAGGTTGGAGGTTCAAGTCCACCCAGAGTTGCCTCAAAAGAAAGGCCTAGCAGTCTACTGCTGAAAAATCAGACATTAAAAACCCTAGGGAGCACAGTTATACGTGACAGACGTGAGGTTGCCACAAGTCGGAATTGACTTGATGGCACCTGGTAATTACAAATACGTGTCCTGCATCTATCCACTTTTCTTCATCTCCACTGCCAGCACCCTCATCCAAGCCACTATCATTTCTCATGTGATACTTCAGAAACCTCTTATCTATTTCGTCTTCAATCCTTTATCCACAGAGAAGCCAAAAGGATGTCTTTAAAAAATCACGAATCAAAATCGTGTCACTCACCTGCTGAAACCAATTGCCTCCAAACGCCATTCGTGACCTACTCTGCCCTAAAGCATCTGGCCCCTGTCCGCCTTTCTAACTTGATCTCTTTCCACTCTCCCTTTATTGTGCATTCCAGCTTGGCCTTCCAGCTCCAGGTACACTGAGCTGATTCCTGCCAAGCTTGTGTCTGCCTCAGGCTGCCATGTTTGTCTTCTTGGGATGGAATGATTTTTCACTTGGCTGAATCCTTGTCATCCCTCAGGCCTCATCAGGCCAGTTGTCACCTTTCAGTCCTGTTTTAGTCACCGTCCAGCACCACACTGTATTTCATTTCATTCATTAAACACTTTGAAATACCACTGTCACTCTCACTGTAACGTGAGCTGCATGAGGGCAAGAATTTGGTTTATCTTGTTAAACACTGCATCCCTACCACAAGGCACAGAGCAGGTAATCAAGAAATGAATGGCTGTGTGCATACATGCATCTGTTGATGCACTTACCACATTATGTTGTACTTTGTGTTGCCTAGCTCTTCCTCTAGGTTTCTTCAAGATAGGAATTAGATTTTCTTCTTTGAAGTCCTGATATCACAGTGCCCAACTCTTAACACAGCACATATTTGTCAAAATGCTTCTTGGTGGGTATGTAGTTTGGTCAAGAATCTATAAGAAGGCAGTCGCTAAGCATTATTTGGATGACTGCTTGTTATTAGATTCCTCTTTTATTTAGGAAAAGGTCCCTGGGTGGCACAAACAGTTTGCACTCATCTGTTAACCTAAAGGTTGGTGATTCAATCCCATTTATCAGTGCCATGGAAGAAAGGCCTGGTGATCTGCTTCTGTAAAGATTATAGCTAAGAAAACCCTATGGAGCTGTTCTCCTCTGTAACACATGGGTCACCATGAGTTGGTATCAACTCTACTGCAACAGGTTTGGTGTTCTGGTTTTTGTTGAAGAAAGAGCTGGGAGCCTGGGTCACTTGATACTTCACTGTCGCAACCAGAGCATTTGTTCCCTCAAGAGACAGGATTTGTTAGGAAGTGCTGCGCTGATATTCCAGTAGATGTGTGTTGGGTGAATGTGCTGTGAAAGAATTGATGAGAGAAATTTCTGTGGCTAGTGAAGGTGATTGATAAGAGAAGGTAAAGCAGGAACTATGTATCACAAAAAAAATAGTTGTGGAGTTAATTTGGAATAGTAAACCGATCATCTGGATAAGAAAATACAGATACTTGAGAGATTTTCTTTTAATGAAGCTTTTTCAAGAGCAAAGAATAAAAGGGAAAGAATATGAGTTTATTTCAAGAGGGAGCCCTGCTGGCTCAGTGGTTAAGAGTTCTGCTGCTAACCAAAAGGTCAGCAGTTTGAATCCACCAGACGCTCCTTGGAAACCCTATGGGGCAGCTCTGTTCTGTCTTGTAGGGTCATTATGAGTTGAAATCGACTCAACGGCAACAGGTTTGGTTTGTTGTTTTTAATCAGAGGATGAAGGAGTAGACTTTAAGAGTTTAAGAATAGACGTTGCAGATCAAGAAATGAACAGCATGACCACCCTGAAGAAGAGACGCCAATGGAGTTAAAGACCAAGCTACTGAGCTCAGCAAGTCCCTTGAGGACAGCCCAAGCTGCCTTTCGCTGCTGTTTCCAAATGCAAAAGAGTAATAAATGAAATTGTCCAGAAACAAGATGTGTGGACCATAAGAGAAAAGAGATAAGATAGAAATTATAGGCCATAACATTAAATATTGATTACAAGATATTTTCAGAGTTTTGCTGCCAGATTGGTGAGGCTAGCAAAAAAGGGGATATTTCCTAAAGTGACATAGATAGAGAGGTTGGAAATGACCTGGCTTAACACATTTGCCAAAAAGTTCTAGAATGTGGAAAGATTATTTATTATACTGAGTTTTTCAGATCTCATCAGACAAGTCAGTGTCCTTTTCATGCCCATAAAAACTATACAGCAATGTAGATAGGTCATAAACATGTTTTATGTTATTATCACTTTCATT